AACATAATTAATGTGCACAAAATAAGGAATAGTTGTATTTACCATACATGTAAACAGAGTTTTATGGGCCCTTAAAAACTTGGGGCCCTAGGCAACTGCGTAGTTTTGTCTAATGGTAAATCCACCCCTGCCTTCACATACATATTAAATCTCATCTCTAGTGCCACAAATGTAAAAAAAATATGAAAATATAAGAAAAAGTATTGTATTGACTAAATAGTATCAATTGAAGTTGTTCCAAAGCCAGATCAGAGAAATTGCTTAGAATGTACAGAAGGCAGCTGCTCACATCCGGGCTTACCTCTCAGGAAGTGGCCCCGATTAACAGATAAAAAGGCATTTTATACATCTCCAGGTTGCCACATCATCTTATTTTACATCATACATGTTAGCAGATGATTAGACATCCATGGCTCCAGCCTCATCAAAATAGAGAGTCTATCCAAACTCAACCTTTATTCAGTTATACAGCGCCAATTCACAATACATCATCTCTAGGCACTTTACAGAGTTGATTAAATCAGATTAAAATGAACAGATTGGTTGACAGGTTTCTTTCTAAGGAAAGTGACTGATGGCACTGAGTCATTGATTTTGCAGAAATTATTCCTCCTAGATGAGCATTTAGCAAGAGTTGACATTTTTTGGCATTGTGTTGTTGACTTTGCAGCATCCCTCACACAGAGACTGCATGCAGTGACAGTGAAGAAGTAGTGCTCTGTCAGCAATATAAGGACCAATCAGATTTTATATATATATAAATAATGGGGCCTGATTATTTAGGGCATTATATGTGAGAAGAATAATTTTTAAACTGTATTCTCGATCTAAAAGGAAGTCAATACATGAAAGCTGACATATGACAAATTTGATCTACCGTATCATTTAATTTTTGAAGATTTTGACCTGCAGTTTTGGACTTCCTCAACCATTATTATAGTCTACCCTTGAAGTAATGACTGCATGGACACGATTTCCATATTCACTTACTGACAAGATATTTCTCATTTTTGCAATATCCGGAGGTAATATAAAAAAATTACAGATTCCTGTTTTTAATATGGGTTTTTAATGAAAAGCTCTTGTCAAAGATAACAACCAGACTTTTAACTAATTATTGAGGGCCAGGTTAATTTGTAGGTTACTGACTAAGCATCTTCTCTTTCTAGGACTTTGGTCTAAAGACAAAAACTTAGTAAAGAGTATTATTGACCCAAGCATCTTCCACAAGTGGCCCTGGATCTTGAGAAAAACTGAAATGTTGTTCGCTAAAGAGAGTCCCCTAAGAGAAAGAGGACACAAAAGATTTAATTTCAGATCCTTAACTGCAAGCTCAAACTCAAACTGAGTCAATAGCCGGAACACCTATAGCTACTAGAGCCGTTTTCACATTTAAATAAAAGAATGAAATGCTTTATTTTATAGCCATTTTCCATTGTTAAGAGTTATCTTATTACAAAATGTCCCCTGAGGTCTGTGGATCATCTAATCAATCACTGTATAGACTGCTGTTATGTTCTGCTTCTGTTTCGGAGAGATGTGAGAGATGGTCAATGCTGGCAGAAAATGGGGCAGAAATTGCAATCATCCTTAATGCGGGCAGAAGTTTGCAAATTACACTTTTTCACGAGTGATTCGTCACTTTGCTGAGCAGAAAGAGACTGGACTTACCATGAATAGTTTTGAATATCAAGTCTGTATGTTTCTTTTAAAGGTTCTTGTTACGGCTACGGCAATCCAAAATTGCCAGAGTAGTCTTAGGAGGAGGTTTTTCGACTCACAAAACAAAAAGCACACGTGGAGAATTTTCTTGTCTCTAAAAGGGGTGTTTTCTTTTCTAATAAAAAATAACAGAAATATTCTCAGAGTTGACTTACAAAAAAATCAGATATAAACGTTAAGTAATGTGTGTGAAAAAACTGTTGCACTCCTCACTCCGTCAAACAAACAATCAGATCCACCTCATCAGCTACTTCTACTTTTTAATCCCAGCAGGAGGAGGGTCAAAGCAAAACCAATACATAAACAAATAAACAATAGCTCTACCAATCACACACCCTTAGATCTTTCACATTAATAATTTAGCAAAAGATTAATCAATCTAGTTCTAACTAGGCTCCAACAGTTCTTTTATCAAACATTTCTACTGACGTCATCCACCTGCACAAATTAGCACGTGTCAGGGGGAACTTGCATTTTATATACTTCTTGATATCCTAGTATATTTTCAACAGTTATATGAAATTGTTTAGGTGGATTGCCAACACAAAACTCTGATGAAGAGCTTTTTTTATTCAGTGAAATTTAATAGATTTTCAGTGATGTAAAGAATGCTGTTATCAAATGAGTACCTGAAATCGCAGCATAACCCAGGATTATAGTTGTGCATCACAGTAAATGGGAAAAAAACAGACTCACTGAAAGGTGGTTATAATGATATGCCTAATCTCCTTTAACATGAGTTTTGCACCACCCTGACCATGTTAAGGACTCCTCTTGCTCTGCCCTCCATCCACCTCCTACTGTCCCTACAGTTATCCGCCTGTCCCCCCAGTGGACTACCTTCTCTGAGTACTGCAGCAACACCAAACCGGCTATAAATCACATTGCATTATCACCGCGCTCCTCTTCGCCTCTCCGTCCGCCCCGCGCATCCCATTGGCCGGGCTTCGGCTCCTCATTCCGCCTCCCTCTGCGGGACATCGGAGCGCTCGTACATCCCGCCTCCTTCCTTGCGGCCAGCGATTGGGAGAGAGGACCTCTCCTCGAGCTGCCAATCATGGCACGCGCTGTGCGCCTGGTGTTCAGCGCTGCTCTCTGCGACGCGCTGAGTGAGGAGCGAGGAGACGCGCTGCATACCAACGGAGACACACGGAGCGCCTCGGTGTTTTTGACCAGGACGCACAGACACCATCCTGGTCTCTGGGAAAACAAGCAAACTAAATAAATCAGATTATCGGACACTTTGAATGTTTACCTTTCCTTTCATTTTTCAAGAAAATCTACTTATTCTTCAAGGGGTTGACAGGCAAAACTAAGTCTCTCTGGGATATCTGGGCTTTCTACTCTAACATTTGTCTGGATGAGAGAGATTTAAAAAATATATATCTCACTCCTCTTTTTTCTCCCTCTTTCCCTCTCTCTAACGGGACTTATTTTAAAAGTCGGATGTAGAAGAGTTGGACTATTTCTGCTGACATTCATCCAGTGGGTCGTTTTTTTTACAAATAGAATTCCCGCAGCGATTCCATAAGGGAGGAATATCATAACACCAGAGCAGAAAATCAATCAGAACTCCATCATGGGCTGCCCTCTGTTGCGGAACGCATTGGCTGCTGGATTGATCCTGGTTCTGCTGTTTAAAGGCAAGTTTTTTTTTATTATCTTAAAGGTTATGGGGGGGGTGCAATGAACAAGGGTGGGGATTCATACCTGCGTGTGGATCACGCGTGTCTGCTGTTTGCTTACACACATTGTGAAAGAAAAATACTGTTTGTACGCATGTACACTTTGTGCACACAGAGCGCGTGCGTGTGAGCGCAGAGCAGTCTGCAGCCACTGGCAGACATCGTGGCTCAGCGTGGGCATCAAGTGATGCATGTTGAGATGTTTACAGAAGGGGGAGGAATAGACTCGGTTCTCGATGAACATTCCTTTACTACGTGACTTGAATGGGCCGGCGGCATCCCCACGCGCACGACGCAGTTTATATGCAGCAGGGAGGGGGGGAGACTGCGTGGAGTTAATGTGAGCACAGGTCGAAGCAATGCAGACAGACTCCAGTGTGAGATCATGTTTTTGTTCCTTCCTCAAAACCAAGGTCGAGAGAGAAGGAGAAATCGGTGGACATTTAGGGATGCCTGAGGGGTCCAACATCTACAGCCTGGATTTCCTCTTTTAATGTTGCCAAAAAAGCACCTTTTTTCAGCTCACTACAAGAGGCAAGCGCACTTTAGGCACGTGCTCAAAATACTTGCCTATTAAAGAGACATGTTGCTCACATAGCGTTTTATGCAGCTTTGTACACTGTATAAAAAATGATGCAGATTCACATTCACGAGTCCGTTGTCACTCATTAAAGTAAAAAAAAAAAAAAAAAAACACATTAGTTAAGAAATTGATCGTTTGGATGAATCTTTTAGTGACTGCTGTTCAAGGACATCTGAGGATAATTAGACAGATGGATGATTAAATAAATGGATGGATTGATACATGAATAGATTGGTGGATGACAGAGACAGAGCAGGTCAGATTGATGGATGAATTAATAATAAGAGTTTGACAGGGTGGCCAGACAACTGGATAAGCACATCCCAAAACTGTAACTCTTGTGTGGTCTGTAGTGACAGTTTCTATCACTACTGGTGCATAAAAGGAACAGTGATCAAAATAAAATAGGGTCATCATGGCCAATACACAAAAGCACGTGCCTAGTGGAGACTCACATTCAGTTTAATAAAAAAAAAACAACAACAAACAAAACACTACTGTGGTGGAGATTTTAGAAGATGTTATGGTTTTGATGGAAATGTGTCAGAATATACAGTAGAGAGTGTGGATGAAGGTGCATAGTCACAAAGCACTCAGGGTGTCCATACTATCCACTGCAATGTGTGTGTCACTCCTACACAATAGGGGCAATTGGAAAAGGGTGGCCTGGTCTGATGAATGACATTTTATTTACAGCTCATTAATTGTACATGTGTGTTCCTTCCCTGGGGAACAAGGATGCACTATGCGCAGAAAGAACATTAGCAGTGGTGGGGGGTGGGGGGGGGGTCCTTTGACCATTTCCAAGAACTATGGTTATATTCTTCCATCTATTTTCCATCATGCTTATCCCTGCTGGTGTTGCGAGGGGAGCTGGTGCCCATGTCCAGCCGTCAATGGGCGAGAGGCTGGGTACACCCTGGACCGGTTGCCAGTCTATTGCAGGGCAACAGAGAGACAAACAGGACAAACAACCATTCACTCACACACTCACACCTCAGGAGAATTTAGAGAAGCCAATTAACCAAACAGTCATGTTTTTGGGCTGTAGGAGGAAGCTGGAGTACCCGGAGAGAACCCACACATGCACAGGGAGAACAAGCTAACTCCACGCAAGGCAGCAGTACTACCCATTGCTCCCCTGCGCAGCCATGAGATGATTTTATTAAAAACACAAAAAAACAGAGTGAAGAGTTTGAGTTAACAACTTAGATATCTCTCCCTGATATCTTAATTCAGTGCAGCATAGATGTGATGAAAAAGCAAGTCTGATCTATGGAGGATCAATGCTGCAGATTACAGGACTTCGAGGATTTGCTCCTTGGCTACAGACAGCACACCTTAGCTCTTTATTGAGTCCATGCATTAAGAAGCCAGGGCCCTTTTTTTAAGCTCAACTGGGACCAACGCGGTAAAAATGAGCTGGTCATAATATTTTGCCTTATTGGTGTATTTTATATTATCATCCAGTAAATTCTCTCTTTTCCACAGGATGTTTCATGACTCACTAACTCAGCACCACTCTTACCACATCTTCTTATTTCCCTTGGCCCATCTAGCTCAAATTCTCACACCTGTCTCAATTAGTCCTGCCTTAGTCTAGTGGGAAATCAGTATATAAATAAATTACTCTGGCCGCTTAATAACAATAATTGATGTGTCAGTGCAATGAGATATGAGGTTAACAATGTGCAGAGGCAGACAGACCTGTACCCTCCTGCCCCTGAGTTTCGTTTGGGCAATGAAAGCCCAGCCGGTCATGCTTGGCCGCTCACAGCGAGCCCACCATATCCAGTCGAGGCAGACAGCAGACGGACAGCCCTGCAGGAAGCACACACTCCACACAAAACCATAGCACGCTTCGTCATCACACAAACCAACCTTTTGAACATAAAGTGGGCCTCATTTCAGATTTCATTTGTTTTAATGTGTAACCTGTGGCGTTTTTGCGATATCAAGTGGTGATCAATCATCTAAGGCATGGTTGAGGAATGATTGGACATTGATGTAAGTACATTATCACATGAGAATCAGAATCATCTCTGAGGGATGCTGTCACTGCAAGAACTTTGAGGATCAAATATCTATCTATTTGGGTGGAAAGCATGCATTATAAAAGAAACAACACAACTGTTAAAAGGGTGCACTTCAATGCTTTATAAATCATACAGAAGAGGAACAATCCTTCATATATGTGGCTTCACTAGACAGATTCAATCTATGAGTGCCTGAATTTTTTACTGACATTGTTAAGCATAATGTATGTGAGTTATTATTGCCTGTTTAATGATTTACAAAAAAAAAACATTTCTCAAAATTCTTATTGCTTTCATGGAAGTCAATGTATTTATTATTATTATGTTATTATTTTAGTCTTATTTTAGTGCACAAAAATGTTTTAAAAAGGCTTGTCCACTGTTTGTACATGCTCTAAGAAACAGTAAAATGCGACTCAAAGCTGCACAATGACATGTCTGCATGAGGATTTTTCTGTGCTGCAAAACACCATTAAGCTATTCAAAGGTTTCCCACAGACTTGGCTTGTGAATGCACAAACCACACCATACATGTGGTGTCCAGGGCCTGGCATGCCATCATACCTTTCCTTTTGTCATTTATTTGCCCTTATTACATGAAATTCTCAAGTAAAGTCACTCTGGGTGGATAGCCAAACGTTCATTGAAATACACAGCAAAATATCTGCACATTCCTGGCACGTAGGCTGGCTGTGATTACTCAAAACCTGTTTCATTACTGAAATCAGACCAGGCACAGGACATTATGGCTGGAATGTATCCATACAAACATTCATATGAAATTAGAGAATTACTTCTGTTGTAATAGAAGTCTTTAATATTTAATGCAATGAATAATTTAATTGCTTATTCAGTGAAAAGTGGGGGATAGAAGATAATTTTGTTAAGGCGTAACAATGATTTCAGCAGGGTGCAGAGTATATGGAGAAGAAAGGGGGGGTAGATAAGTTATATTCTTTGATAAATTGGTGAGCTTTGTCTCATAATGGACATTAATTGACATCTTCTATGGAATTTGGTAAATAGAACCTATGTTGTCTGGTTTTCTGTTTGGCACAGAATCAGTTTTAAGTTAACAACATATCAAAGACTTTTTGGTCCCACTTATAACCAGAGGTGACTTGCATCAAATAAACGCCGGGATATTAGTTAACCAGGGGGCTATATTGCAGTTTATTATGTAATAAAAATAAAAGGTAAGCTTCAACCCACCAGAATTGATTAATTTAATTGCGCAAAGTGCTAAAAGGGAAAAGATACGCCTATAGGAACTATTTTCTTAATTAGGGTTAAAGAGTCTATAAGCTGTTGAAATTTATATATGTTTTAAAAGTTTTCAATTTAGCTGCTGAGTTAAGGCTGTCTTACTTGTTTTACTGCACGGGAAGCTTAATTGTAGTTTTTTAGCATTACTTTTTCAGCTTTTGTTGTGGAATTATTTTAGTTCACCAGATGAACCGTTGCTAATCAGGACGTCATATTTTACCCCTAAAATAATGTAGATTTTTATTTTGAATGCATCTTGTCTTTCTCTGCCTTGAGTTTCTATCAGCTTATAGTAATCATTTTGATTTTCTTGTCCATTTCATTATAATGTTGCATAAAGGAATTCCATTTTTTTAAACAACATAAAAGCTGTTGGTATTATTAAAAAAATGCTCAAGATCAACATTTCATTATCATTCTACCATAAATGAATCTTTGTGGATTTAATATTGTGCTTTATAAATTAACCGATTAAGCTTCAAAACACAATAACAAAAATGAATAAAGCTTTAATAAAACTGTTTATGAGCAACGCATTTCAGTTTTGCACACATGCAGTCAGCAGGTTGAACTTGCAATACAGACATGTGTAGTTCTTTAGATTTGAACTGCTGGACTTAAAGTAATTTATAGTAATTAGTGTTTGGAGTGACGATTTTACATTGTAGCTGCAGTAGTTTTGAACAACAGAGAAATCTAAATAACCGCTTTTTACATATTCATAAAACCATTACATTATTTTCAATCTAATGTGGTGCATTACTACATGTTTTTTTAATCAAAGCAACTTTTCATAAGTGCACTCTACTGTGAAAAATACTGCTTTGGGGTTTTTGCGTGCAGGGATGAGGCATGAGAGCTGAGAAAGAGGCATACATGTCGCAGATTGGATGAGGAGTCATAATGTGGGCCGGTGTTTAGTGTGCACTGATTGCTCACAAAGGAAAAGCAGGGAGGCATTGATAGAGAGCCCAGCGGATGATAACGTTCCTAAACTGGAAGCGTTTGTTCAAGTTAAAGGTTAAACATTCTTGTGATTTGCTCATTATGTCTTGGAATAAAAGGCCTTATCC